ATTTTGCTGGCGATCTGGAAAGCGTGACAGAAAGAGGAGATCCTTGCGGAATACCATTCATTAGCGGAAAGGAATCAGAGAGATGATTATTGATTCTAACTTTAAACCGCCGATGCGACATCAATGATTTAATGTAGTTGAAGATTTTGGGTCCAACATTCTATGATTTCAAGAGTCTTAAGATAACATGAAGACCAACTCTGTCAAATGCTTTTTCGAAATCAATTGAGAGAATTGTACATGATTCCGTTCGAAAATTGCTTTGCTTGTAAGATAATCAATGTGTAAAAGAGCGTTGATGCACTTTCTACCCCGCTTGAAACCAACTTGTTGCTTTGTAATCAGGTTCTTGGACTCAAGAAACGAAGATAATCTAGATGCCGTAATCTTTTTCAGAACCTTTGAGAGGCAAGATAAAAGAAAGGTAATCCGATGCGATGGACACATTTTTTGACTTTGGAATTGGAACAACTGTTGCCAGTTTCCACATATAGGGTATATGGCCAGTCAAAAATACCGTATTATATAGGTCTAGTAATTTCTTTTCACTAGACTAAGACATAGCACTGATCATTTGGTAGGAGATGCGGTCTAGACCATGTGTCCTCCCCTTCTATTTAGAGAGAAAACCTTTAAGTTCTGAGGTAGATATGCAATTTTCCAGGGACAAGGCACATCTGTCCATAGCATTTGAAAGAGAAATTGGAGTCCTTTTATTTTCAATGAAAGCAATGGAGAAGTTGCTGTAAGAGGACTACTCGCACCACATTTGTCCAAAGTAATTAGAAATCTCATCTGCATCAGTTAAACTTCCATTGGGAGTACAGATGGCAAAGATTTCGTTCAGATTAGAGGTCCCATTAAGTCTGTTGATTTTGTTCCAGACAACTTTCATTGATGTATTTCTGTGAATTCCTCTCGAAAAAAGTTCGAAACTAAGTGCCTTTGATTTTCGTAATTCCTTCCTAAATTGAGCATTGGCCTTTTTGTATAATAACAAATGATCGTGATCAGGACATCTCTTAAAGCGGTATCATAGATCCATTTTATTTTTCCTCAAAAACGAAAGCGTGTTGTTCCACCAAGGAATCCTAAGCTCGATTATGATTAGATAGTGATCGCTATTATGTAGATCATCAGAAATAGACCATGAAGCCAAAGGAAGAAGTGACGGAGAGCAAAATGTTAAATCAATATGGGAGAAGATGTGATGAGTTGAAAAGTACGTTGGTTTTCCATTATTCGAAATGCATAGATGGCTCTGAATAAAGGCCTGAATGTATGAGGTTTTCGGTTGCGCGCGGGTTCCCGGCGAGGGCAAGTAAATTGCCATCGCGTAGAATCAAAATAGAGTCTATATAAGTTGTAATGCTATTTAGTTTTTTTTTAATAGCAAAAGGACTGATTTGTGAAATTGTTAAGGTAGGATGAGTTGAAGAAATCATAACATATTTTTTGTCAATAGGAGTGATGTTAGTGGTAGGCAACACCGAAAAGTCCGCAGACGAAAAGAAAACACGCACTAATTAGAACACAAGTCGATAATATTAAGTAATTAAAATAGCCCAACTCAACTGCACTAGCATCCTTAATAAATAAAAACAGTCTGAGTAATACCTTTTTCCTCAGTTAAAACTCGCCCTTACATAGTAGAAATCATATCCTTACTTTATAACCTCAAGTCTGACACATTTTTTTCCACTTTCTCTGGGTGCTCAGTCACACGGGCATTCTTGGCACCAACGCTGCAGATTGCTTCTTCCAGACCATCTCGGTTTAACGATTGTGCTGCAGATATAAGGCCAATCGACAAAACGCATTTAGTTCTTTCTTGGCAATAGCGATGCAATAAAACCTTATGGTCGTCGTTTATACTCTTTATTTCCACAAATAAATAAAGGCCTTCGATTGCGAACTCTGACATGGCATTATTTGTCTTATATCAGACTGATGTTTAATTACACGAGATGTAAAGTTCATCTATTCAAAATTAAAATAACAAACAACCCTTTATGTACATGTGTACAATCTCCTAATCATGTAATATTTGCCCGTTCCTATGTTACCACATCTATTCGCCATTCCACTCTTCGCAAACTCTTTATATGCGGTCTGTAATTTAACAGTTTACTTCACAATCTTTCCCGTTTTTAAATTATTCCAAGTCGTGGGTTCAAACCTCAAGTGCGGTAGAGTTTTTAATAAAAGCCGACAGCCCTAGATGCTGGTGCTTTTAAGACGTTAGTCTTAGAATTTATTCTCTGGCTAAATTTATAATAATAATAATAATAATAAATTATTCCATGTTGACATAACCGTTTGCAGTCAATTTACGAACCTACTCTCTTTTACACTTTTTTACTCTCACAACCATCAGTTCCTTTATATGACACTTTATACTCATATACTACATTGCTTCTTACACATCAGAATTTACTCCTTGCTGTTCTGTTCTATCCCGCGTGGCGGACAAGTAACATGCATATTTTTATAAAAACTTTAAAAAAAAATAATAACGTGGCGGACGCAAAATTAAAAAAGATCCTAAGTAAATAATCACCCGAATAAATGAATATTATATATCAAATCTAACCCCAGCATTACTAAGGGCTAAATAAAGAACTGTGTGTTCACTTTAGGCTTTTTTTATACAGCATTTCAGTGAATTTTTAGTTGTCGATTTCTGAACATAATAGAAGAAAAAGACCTATTGAGAAACAAAAATATTTTTTTTAAAAACGAAGATGTGGAGTTCTGTGCTGACTTTGTATTGCACCTGTACTAAGGATGAAAAATGGATATCTTTTTAGAATAGCAGACGTAAGCGATCATGCGCAGGCCCAAACGCACCTCTCGTCCACTACCGCCCTAGAACCGACTCGTTTTCACAGCAAGATTATGTTCCATAGTATCCGATCGACATTTATTATAAACTGTTAAGACCTATTGAAATAATGAATAGCAAACGCTACTAGCAACAATTGATCGACTTGCACATTCGCCTTTTTCCAATATGAAATATGTCTATGCATTCATTTGGCAAAACTGGTTCACGACACATTAAAAGCTTTTAATTGGGAAGTACTAGCCCATGTTAGCAGTCACCAACTCCTGGCGACCATCACTTTTTTGCATCGATGAATTGCGCAGTTTTGGAGCAGCGCCTTGATTCGCATGAAGACGTGAAGAAATGGCTTTCGTGGTCTTATGGCTTGTCAAACATAAGAGAAATGCCTGCGCTTATTGGTTTCAAAGACGATTTGCTGCATTAGCACAGATAGTATGGAATCGCCTATTTGCATTTTTGAAGTTCTCAGTAGTTGGAAAAATAGACAGACGGTTGTGGACAAGTCGACTCAAGCAGGTTCAGTGTAAAAATTTGTTAAGTACATCGTGAAGGCAAGACAAAACTAATAGACCCGCGACTACTTTTTGTGGGCATGGGAACGAAATGCTTGTTGACAAATTTAATTATTTATGAATGCCATGTATATGCAAGCCAAAAGACTAAAAGTATACTAATTTTTATATGCACTAACAGTAAAATCATCAAAAATATAAGAAATCCTAAATAAGGTATAGGCACTCCCACATAAAAACTGACCTGTGTAAAATTCCCATGAAATAAGGAAATAAAGCTGAACAAGAAGAAAAAGATGTAATGTGCTCAAAATTCAAGAAAATTGTATTCATAAAAGAAATAATCTGCTAACGGTGGCTTTTGCTTGCGTCCACATGAAAAAGCAATTTTTTAAGAAAAAAAAAAAAACGAAAAGTTTCAACTAGAAATCGAAAGCTTTTCTGTTACATTTTGTTCTATTTCTTTAACATTTTAAAGTTTTCCTAAATCAATTGCACTTTTACTGAAGTTATAGTTATTTAATGTAATGCAACAATTAGTTGCAGGAGTGTTAATTCTCCACTTAGGCACAACATGTATTTTGCAAAATAATCAATTGGTATTTAGCACTGGATTTACATCCTTTGACTCTTTGCTAATTTTATGGATATTGCATATTCCAGCCTTTGCGCTAATTCGCCGCAATGGACGGATTATTAATTATCTCCCAAATTGAACACATTAACGGCTATTGGGCAAAGAATAAATAGATGCAAGTAATCGAAAAATGTTAATAAATGTTTATTCCCCATAATTGGTTTCTGGAAACTATTGGTTATTTAAAATGATATTGGTGGCTCATACTTTGATGATCGATGTCTACATTTAAATTCTAAGTCAATAGGCTCATACAATGGACAGAAATGTAATTATTAATTTTTTCTAAATATAATTTATTTTGTGTATCAAGATTTTTGGTTTCACTTTCTTTTCTTTTTGCTTTTGTTAACAAAAACTTTCAAAATTAGTTTTAATTATCAAACGGGGGAAAAATTTAAGAAAAACGCAAAATTAAAAGTTAGAAAAAATTATCTGCTTACCTTTGGCGTCAAAAACATAAATATATAAATAAAATCTTGCCGCCCATGCTGCTCTTTATATTTGCTAAAGCCATGTGCATTTAACTCTTTGTAAAAATATATTTTGCATCAAAAAAAAAAAAAAAAAGAGCAAAGAGGCACTCCAATATATAAAGAGACACTCAACCTTCTAGAAAGTTAAGCACAGCTATTATAAGCAAAAGATTTATGTTGTTATGCATTTTAACCAAAAGATTACAGTGTTAAGCATACAACTATTATGCTATGAAATAATCAAATAAAGCATTGAGAGAAAAAATAAGAAAACTTAAATGTGTATAAAAGAACAATTTTCTTCTTTTTTTTTTTTTGATTACTATTAGGGAACATTGAATTTGCAAAACAACAGATTTAACAGTTTAAATTTATTTATTCATTCATTTCTCTACAAAAGAAGCAGACATACGCTTCTATGCATTGATTAAGGGCTTAATCAGGGATTTGTGAAATATTGCCTTTTATGTTAAAATCTGTTTGTTTGTAAATATTTAACTTTACTTATCAAATTCCGTTTAACTTACCTAATGATAATTTTTCACCGGAGTCTGGTGGCAGTGTAAAACCCAACAAAGCCATTGAGGCTATCAGTACACATGGTATAATTAAATTAAAAAAATAATACAATGTACGTCGTCTTATAATGATGGTAAATGTTATATCAATATAAGGTTCCGGACAGCAGTTATAATAGATTTCATTACGTTTGCCGGGCACACCTGAATTAAAAAAAAAATAATAATATCTATAATTACATACGTATATATATATATATATATATATATATAAGTTATGCACAGTGAACATGAATTACTTGAGATTTAGTATTCAACAGAAGTAAATTAATACAAGTATATGAGCACACATTCACATTTTTTCTCTACTTAAAAACTAATTGGTGCTTCAAGCCAATAACTAAATGCATGCTTGAAATGAGATGAATTAAGGCTCATTAAAAAAAATAATAATAATTTTATATGTAAAAGAATGTAAAAATAAAATATGTACAAAAAAATCGGAATTAAGAATTAGAATATTAGGGCTAATAATACTTTGAAGTTTGAAGCCTCATTGTAAAAGTCGAGACCTATGATTATTCTGCTATTATTTATAAGCATTCGAGTTTTGTTTTTCTGTTATCATTCAACACTGCCTTCAGGCCCCTGATTATTTAAAAAATTTTGCGTAATTGGTTGTGAGAGGACATTAAACGTGAAGATTTAATAAATTTATATGAATGCAAAATAGCATGATGCAGCTGAACAAGGGATCAATATACCACGGCATAGAAAGTACTTCTTGTTTCTTTTCTACAACAACCGAACTACCAATTGCGACTCTTAACTTCTCGGGTGTGCGATAGCGTCCGATTTCAGTTAATTTACCAACAAAAATTTCGTTTTTATTGATAATTTGTCACGTTCGTAAATTGGAGGAGTAAATTTGTTAAGATCTGCTGGGATTGTGTGACCAAGCCAAGTTCTTGCAAAAATAGTGATGTTCGCGACATTGGTTTAAGAAGAGAGTAGTGCGTAACTTAGTATTAACGGTCGCTTTCGTCAATTATCTCTTTAATTTTCTTTAATGTCTATGCAAGTTAATCTTTTCCATTTCGACGTCCGTAATTAACGGTGGGGAAGCCGGAAATTTTATTGTTAGCTCATCTGGCCCTCATGCATTCCTTACTTTGTTAATGTTTGGCGAAGGGTTCTTTTCTCTGCTGGTTTGGACTTTTTTCGTTGAATCCGACTTTCAGTCCGATCTGTTAATGGTGCTATCTACCGTTCTATGGTAATTTTGTACTATTCGGACGTTTTACAAAAAATGAATTAATATATAGAAACTTGCGATTTGGTTCAATATGAGTGGGTATTTTTACTTATTACCTATTTTTGCTTATTTCTATTTTTATATCATCTTTGAAATGAATTGCATCAAGACAGTTTAAATCATAAAAAAGAAAATATTAATTTTGAGGTGAATTTTAAGCTGAAATGACAAATTTTTTTATACTGCCCATGGAATGATTTTCGAAGATATACTTTTTTATTTAGTTGGTTTCATACTAATAATTTCATACTAATAATGAGTATCATACATTGAATACTTATTTCGAACTTAATACTGGAAAAGAATTGAAGTTTGGGGTATAGACAAGAAACATCACATACACCCGGGCTCGCGGTCGGTAATTGCTTTTCTTTTGTTTTAGTTTCTTTCTGAAGCTTATTCTAAAATCTTTGACAATTATTGCGACTGAATATGCGTTTGTCTTTTAAGTTGATGAGTATTGTTGGTAAAAAAAAGAAAATGCTTAATATACAATGGTCTAAAATTTGCTTTCAATTCCCTTTCTTTTTTTGGGGAAAAGAATTGCGGAAAGTTTTGAAAAAAAAAATTAAAAAAGGCTTTTAAAATAATTGCTATAAGTAAGACTGACAGGCATTTGTGCAGCAAACTACAGCAAGTTTATGCATGCTTTGACATGAATGATAAATGTTATTCATTTTAAAGTGTTTTATGTAAACTTTTGATATATATTTTTTTCAATATTATTTATTATATTCTTTTTCTTACCTTTCTTTAATTTTATATAGATTTACTAGAAAGTCTTAGAAATTACATTTTTCTTCCTTTTTCATTTTTTATATTAACAGATTCTCTGTTTATAAAAAATGTAATTTCTCTTTACAATTTACTTTCATTATATATCTTCCATACAAAATTCGTTTTACAGAGAGAAACTTTCTTACGGCGGCTATTTCGGTCTTTAAAAGTTAAAGCGCCCAATTTTATATTTCGACTCATTTTTAGTGTTTGTTTTAGTGTTGATATTGGTGGAGGGTGAGAACACTGGATAAGCGAGAGAGTGTAAAGTTTTTTTCTTTTACAGAGCCTTTAATTTGCTTAAAATGGTATAAAGTGTTTTAAAAAGAGAAAGATACTATTAGCGTAAATGAGCGCACTCGTGTTTGCCAGGTAAGGGTAAAGTGAGAAAAAGGAAGAAAGAGACAGATCGAGAGAGGCGAAAAAAGAAAGAGGCAGTGAGATAGATACAGAGACAGACAGAGAGAGACAGACAGAGAGAGAGAGAAAGAGAGAGAGAGAGAGCGAGAGAGAGAGAGAGAGAGAGAGAGAGAGAGAGAGAGAGAGAGAGAG